GTCCCCGTGCCGCTGCCCCGGGGCTCTGCCCGGTACAGGCCGATACATCCCCGGTGCAGCCCCCGGTACAGCCCGGCACGGCCGAGGGGACCCCGAGGAGATGGGAGACAGCACGGAGACACATCGCTGCAGCTCCAGGCAAAGCAGGCACACACACACCATAAATATATATATTTTTCTACCCATACACCATGCACACATACAGTATATATGTTGTATTTCTGTATTTATGTATATGCATATTACATATAATTCACACGCATGCTATATATATAGATGCACACATACTATATATACACGTCTATGCTGCATACGTTCGCTTTATATATATACATACACACTATGTATATGCACAAATAATTGTTATATGCACACACTATGCACACACATTTCATATGCACTCTATACACACAATATAAATATATGTAAATACAGCGTATGTATGAAAATATAATAAACCAAATATATATTCTGTAGACACACTCTCTATAAACTCACTATATAGAAAAACACAAACAATATTTTCCCCCAGCACATACACACACACTCTTTACACACATACCAATACTCGTACACTATATACATACATAGGCAGTAAGAATACGTACTATATATATATACATATATATACACAATTTATATAAGCTCTGTCTACCTACGCACACGCAATATGTATGCTCAATATATGTACAAATACACGGTAAATACCCAAACTACCCATGTATACACATGTTCTTGCTCCATGCATGCATACACCCAACGCTTACCTCCTATACACACCCTGTATGTACGTACATACATGACTATATTCCCAGCACCGTGCCGCCCCGCAAAGCCATGCTGGGGCCAGGACGGGGTTGCCTGGGCAGGGGCTAGTGTCACCCCAGTCCCCAAGCACTCCCAGCCCCGAGACTGGGGTGCTAAGAAGGTGCCCGGTGGATTTACGCCCGCCTCCCCAGCCCAGCCGGGAGCACTCCCCTCTCGTCCCGCTGATGATTTAAGCCCACAATTGCGTGGCAAAGATTTAAAGATGCCTTTGATTGCATTTCTTATCTGCAGCTACGAAGCCACATGCCCTCCTAGTGTCCCTGCTTCAGAGACAGCGGCCCGCCATCATGTGGGGACGGTCACCCACTCACCAGCACCCACGGGTGGCCCCTGAGGCCCCGCTGATGCCCCTCGCCCTCCCCAAATGTGCCTCCACATCCCAGCAGATCCCCCTCCAAGCAAACACTCGTTTCTCCATCCTCCAGAGGACGGCTTTCTATTTTAAGTCCAGCCTCTGCATCTTTCTTCTGCGGCAGGGAGCGGGGGGGGAGACAGACAAAGCAGGTCGGCATGCAAATAGGTGGCGGGCAGTGGGGTGCCCACCTAAATCCCCCAAATCCTGGGAATTTGAGGCTCTGCTGCAGCAGCCCAGGTGTTTGCTCCAGCTTTTAAAACCCCGTGCCAAGCAGAGACTCCCTCTTGTAGACAAATCCCCTTCTGTAGATACACTTATAATTGAGTTTCACGCTTAGAAACATATAAGGAATAGAAAAAGAACAATCATTTCTGCCTCCATTTAATTAGGGAGTAATAGATTTCCCTGCCTAACAGATCTACAGGGAATCTCGCAGTGATGAGCTACCTACCGATGCTGGATTACTCTGAGATTTGCTCCTTTTCAGGAGGGCACTAATTAGCGCCCAGCGCCCAAAGGCACAAGAAGGGGTGAGGGATTGAGCTCTGCATCCTCCCAGCCCCTCCATGTCCAGGAGGGAAAAGGGTTCTCCTGGAAAGGGTTAAAGCATCCCAGCAGGGTGGCTCAGCCCCTTCTAAGGCATTAACCCTTCTGCAGAGCCCGGGGTGGAGTGGGACATGCCCACGCGTGATGATGACAAGTTCATGCCCACGCAGCCTCGGTTGTCACACACTTATGGTGTCACCTAAACTGTGGGAAGGCGTCTGGCACCCTTTGCCCAGGACAGCCCCAGAATAAAGAAGCTTTCATCGCCTTCCATCCCCAAATTGTCTCTTATCCCAGATCAAAAAAGCCAAGGGAAAAGAGCATCGCCGTGTCCCTGTGCTGCAGTCACCGGCAACACTACAGCCCTCACCCGCTGAAGGGGTTGTGCCTCGGTGGGGTCACAGATGTAGTCTGGGGTCTCTGTAGAAGTGGTCAGAGCAGCATCTTTCATCTGCCTCGTGGGTGCAGGTGAGCAGAATTAGGCTCGGTCCTCTACAGCCACCCCTGCTCTGCGTCCTCCACTGGTTCAGAGCCCCCGAACCCTCCCAGAGGGGCTCTGAAGCTGTTCAAGACCTGCCAAACAGCACGGGGGCTGACGGACCACCCGCCTCCAGCCTGCCCTGCGCAGAGGTGATGGGCACCAGCGATATCAACCCACGGGGGGGCCAGGAAGCAACCCCTATGCTGGCCCTGCCAGTGAGAGCATCGTCCCCAAGAGGGGAGTGACAGCCCCCACAAATGCTTTGTAAAGCAGGTCCTGGCCCCCATGGAGAAAATCCCTAGCTCACCCAGCATGTCTGCATGTTCCGCTGCAGCCACGCTGCGAGCCTGCCTGATAAACTGCTCTAGATTCAAAATAATCCCCTTCTCCCTTGCATAGCACTATTTTTAAGCCCAGTCCTGTGCACAGCCTGGCCTCAATGACAACAGCATCAGCCCAAGTGTGAAGATAAGCAAGCTGTGGCTGGGATATATGGAGTTGAAACTCTCCTAGGGAGCTCCAGCTCACCCCTGCTCCACCTTCATGATGCTCAGCACCTTTTCCAAAGAGGGGCTGGCTTGCTCCGGGGTGGAGGTCCTTGCACCTCAATGCTTCCACGCTCTGGGTGATTCACACCGCCTTGCTCCAACACCAGCCCTGCATAAGGTGGGTTTGCTACCAGAGATGCCCCTGTTTGGCCAGTGGATGAGTATGGGAGGGCAGGGAGCAAGGACCACTCAGCATCCCTGGATGCCCACCTCTGCCCGAGTGGTCCTGGACAGTGGCTGCAGGATGAATGCCCCATGATCTATCTACTTTTAAAAGCTTTTATCAGCAGTTTTATGCAGGGCAGAGAGATGGTTCCGGGTGACATCCCTGTACCCCGACGGCTCGTCCTTCCTCCTGCCACCCTGCCGCAGCCTATGGGCACCCACCCCACTCCTTCC